GGGGGGGGCGTCACCCAAAGTATATTTTTATTAATGTCCAAAGCCCATCGCACTCCTGCCCAATGAGCCCCTGAACATTGGTGGGTGCTGTGGTGGCAAACGGATGGCGCTGCTCAATACAGGAAGAAAGGTCACTGGCACTCCAAGATCGTTGATCAATACGTCTTTATTGACGGATGATATCACATAATAAAGACGTTTTAGGGGCCACATACGGTGCCCTTCATCAGGCTAGGCATCGTAATCACACTGTTTTGCCTGATGAAGGTCACCCTATGTGGCCCCTAAAACGTCTTTATTATGTCATAACTTGAGCATGCGTTAATGAAGACATATTGATCAACGATTTAGGATTGCCAGTGACACTTCTCCAAAGTATATAAACCCAATTTTCGGGAAGATTTTTTTCCAACTTTTTCCCATTTCAGATATTTCTATCTCCTTCCTTTCATGAAGACACAACAGGAGGTGATAGCAAATTTCTCCAAAGTGGGGTAAATCCCCTCTCAGTTGCGACCAGATTGAGCTTCCCCATTCAAAGGTTTCCATTCTTTTTCTTTTTTCCGGAGAACATTCCGAATTTTTGATTTTTTTTCCCTTTTAGTCAAGACGGCGGTGACCATCATCAGAACAAATAGAGACCATGAGGACAAAGACAGTGATAAGAATTGTGTAATAGTACCCATGAGAAGCAATGGGCCGTTCCCTAGAGGGATGGTGGGGATGTGTCCTATGATTTGTTTGTAGCGATAACTCCCCGCAGGGAGCCACTGGTTGCCCGGTCCACATCTAGTCGGTCTAGGGGGTTGATCTCCAGCTGCACCCATTAGCACTAACAGCCCTCTTCTGATGCCCATAAATTGATGTCCACTTCAGTAATAAAATGCTAGGTAAACGGTTTATTGAACATCTTCCTTGGGAGAGAGGATATAGGGGTTCTAGCTGTCTAGGGATAACCATCAGAAGCTCCAGACTCACTGGACCTTGTAAGAGAAGCAATGCAGATCCATTCGACCACATCAGCTAACCACTGATGTACTATACAGTCCAGATGGATGCAGATCCTCAATCCAGGAAAGACGCCGTCCATGCTCTGAAGTCCACATAGTTCATGGGTGCTTCAAGAGCCTGCACTGGTCCCAGTTCTCTTCCTCTTTTCATCTCTCAGGCCTCCTCCCTGTTGGAGGCCTCAGGAAAACCTTTTCCCTCACTTTAGCCCATGCCCACCCCCAGGCCTAGCCTGGAGGTGCAGTCTGAACAGGAACCAGCCCTAATCCATGGCTGGTCCCGGCGAGACAGAGAGCACATGGCAGCTCCCACCGATATATGTACTCTGTTTCAGCATGCACTACTGGCTGAGGGAGGCCCAGTGATGGGCTGCTGTACAGCACATACATTACAGTATCCACCATTGGCTGTCTCACAATATGACAGAGTCACACTCCACCCAGGGGGGCACAGGCAAGGCTAGTCACATGGGATTAACCAGATAATCACCACTACAAATCCAGCCAGGCCGACTACAGCCCCGGCTACAACTAAATGTATAGTAGTCACATCACAGTGAGTATAAGCCGAGGGGGGCACTTTTCACCCCAAAAAATGGGCTGAAAATCTCGGCTTATACTCGAGTATATACGGTATGTATAAATAAATATATTGTATTATTGGTATATGGATTTGTCTGAAATGAGACGGGAACCTCCCTGAAATAAGGTTTTGCAGGTTGGGATGTCTGCAGAAGGTGATGGGCGCTACATGTTCATGGGTTTAGTTTGGGTTTACCCAATATGCGGCCCTATAGTTTATTTCTTACAAGTAATAGTATCAGGTATTAGAACGCAAGGCACAAAGCAGCATTATTGGATGTCCAACGCCTGCAATGCCAGAGTACCATAGCCATGTAACCGAGACATACGCTTTCTCTATGTAGAATTCTGTGACAGAACGCCTGCGGCAGCTGCAGGATGCTCACCGTGATTTCGGACCCGAGTCTCAGCACTTCTTGTCATGTGAGTTTCTCCGTCCTTCTATTCTTTTACCCAGACTGGCAACAGGTATGTTTTCGGTAATAAATGTCCGGCAGGCGAGACATTATCTCATCATGATTATGGTTTACTTTTATGTCATGTATCTGCCTGCTTTGCAGTGATTTCCTTAGACCCAGCTGACTACCTAAGCATGAGAAGGGGTGTTTATATAGCCGATGGGTCCCTCCTTTCCTTCCTACCTTCCTAGCTCCTCTTACCTGCACACGTCTGCTACCTGCTAACGTGACATCACTTCCGGCCAGTACGACATCAGACGAGCAGCATCGCTGATGGGGCCCCAGCATGTCTCGAAGCCGCTGGAGTGGCAATGCTGGGGCCCTACGCTGCTAGGGCCAGTCCTCCGCCTCCTCGCCCTTCACCGTCGGCCGATAGTCATGTAAGGGACCCGGGCGGGCCCCTTACATGAGTATCGGCCGTATGCCCCTGATGGCTGCCCTGGATTGGGCAGTAAGGTTGCTGATCATGATATCGAATTGGTCACTTGCTTGAAATTAAAGTTGTGTTGGTGAACGTGACCATAAACTGGCAAATGGTAATGTTTGTATCACTAACGGCACAAGTGTGCCATGTGAACGGCATTTGGCCACGGCATACAGGGGCGGATGATTTATAGATCATCCCCCATTAAGCGTCACCTGCACACCAAGCCCACCCACCACAATCTCAGAGTCACTCTCACTCCTCCTAGTGTTTCTCCAGTTCGATCCATTTCAGTCCTGTCTAAATACACCCTTCTGTCCCTTCTCACTAAGGCCTCATTCACACTGGGATAACTTGGGGCGTGCGCGCCCGTATCGGGCCGTTTCCGGGAGGGACAGGTGCTGTGCGTGATTGTGCGCAGCAGCCTGCTCTTCCCTATGGGAGGACATGACCGTACGCCATCCTACGCACACCCGAACTGTACATCCGTGCGGGTACGAGTGTCCGTGTTCAGACCCAGACAGGATCCATCCTACACGCAGCACCTGTCGTTCCCAAGAATGGCCCGATGTGTACGCCCCGAGTTAGCCCAGTGTGAATGAGGCCCTACAGTCTATGCTCTGTGTGAGCTGTGAAGCTACTGTACTGAGGTGCTGCAAGTGTGCATGTGAACAGGCATCTTCCATAGTCCCCAAATGTCCCTCTCCGGTCTATAGACCACTTTTGGGACCAAGTCCTTCTGTCCCTCTTTACTCCTCAGTTGTCCCTCTCAGACCTCTATAAAAATGGCTAATTAACTACCAAAAGTTTTATACTATACCAAGGGGGTTATTCACTATTGAGCCGAAGGATCCAGCCGTAGATTCGTCTGATCCTTCGGCTCTCTTCGGCCGCCGGAGCCCTTCGGCTCAGTCGAACCGAAGGGCTGCCGTACGGTCTATTCACTATAACCCGTACGGCAGCCGAGTTCCTCAGCCAAGCCGAACACATATGCTTCGACTCGGCTGAGCCCAAGTGACAACCGAAGCGGCGCGTACGGCTTGCCGAAGGCCGGCCATTCGCCCAGCAAATGACAGCTCGTCGGAGCCAGCCGTGATCTTATGGCTGGCTCCGCCGAGTTGTAATGACAGATCAGCGTCCCCAGGTCCCGATGACCTGG